GTTTCTTTACTGCTCCTCTGCTGTGTGCTCCTCATTCTTCTCTTTTGCTCGTCTGCTGTATTCTTCCTCCTTCCTCCTTTTGACTTTCTTCTGTCTTTCAAAGATAAAACCTTTAAGTACTGTTCATCTGATAGTGACACAGTCTTGGTGGTCTAGCAGGTTCTTGCATGGTTGTTAGGAATCCCATTTTCTCTGTATCTCCAGTTTTGGAAACTCCTGTTTGTTTGTGTTTGATGAGGGAGGGAAGTTGTAGGCAGATTTTTGAGCCTATCAGCCTGTCATCATCTACATATGCTGTATGCTGTATATCCAGCATGTGAATGAAGTGTGGATGCAGTGAAGTTGCGGCCAGGCTGTACTAATCACAGCCTGGCCTAATTTTTTTTTTCCTCACACAAAATAGAGATATGCAAAATGCATATTATACCCATAATACATACAGTATTCATGTACTCATTTAAAGATCTATTATATGCATAAGGATAGGTGATAATTGGTATCAGTGTTTTAGATGTATTAAAGCACAATGAAAGACATTAAAGAATTTATATTATATTATATTATATTATATTATATTATATTAATTTTTTTGCTATTTTCTATGCAAAAGTCAACAACATTTCTAGTGGGTTTCACAAAAGGAGTGTTCTTTAGAAAATGGCTATGAACTTATATTCTGTTAATTAAGAACATGACCTGTTCAACGACTTCTTCTTAATAACTCCACCTGTTTTCACTCCCTTATCCACTTCTGAAGTGTGAGGTGCTTAGCTTAATGGACGTGTGCTGCCTCTAGCCACAGTTAATTTCCTCCTGTTTATCATTATCATTTGTGATTAATCACAGTCGGAAATCTGCAAGCTGAACACAACTGAAATGACAGGAGACGAGAGGTGTTGATGCAGACGAGTCTTTGGAGGTTAGCCCCCTGTGTATTGATTCTGTAGGCTGTCAGCCATGATTCTGGGATGCACTGTCCACTTGATGAATGGCCTGTAATTGCTAGGTGAGAGACCTTGACCCTTAATCAGTCTTTGGAAATGTTTAGGCTAAGCTGGATAAGAATATGGAGATTAGACTGGGAAATCTCTATAAAATATTAATGGAAGATCTAAGGATATGAGTGGAATTCTAAGCAAGAACGTCTTTGCTTTTAGCCATACTTTCACCCAGTTATGACTCAGTTATTAATAAAAATTCTTATTTTTCAGTAGCTATTCTGAATTATTTGATCTTTATTATACAATTAATAGACTATTAGAAGTTAACTGCATAACTTGAGTTGTTTTTAAACACCATCTGAAAACAGCAGCTGCTCCTTACATTTCCCTTTGAAGAGGAATTCCAAAAAATTGTCAACATTTCTGCATAGTTCAATCATTGAGCTGTAAACAGTCATTCAGAGCAGTCTGATATGAAATGGTGCATTGTATAGCAACTTACTCTTTTTTTTACTGTGGAGGTGACAGGAACCAATTGCAATGTCTAAACCTGTAAATAGCTATTTTATTTACAATCCAAAATGACCAGTGAACCTACACGTGTGTCCTGAGATTTTATATGTAATATCAATAATGGTAAATTAGTAGTAAATGTTCCTCTCTAGGCCAAAACTTCATCTCAAACTCTGAAAACTAGCATAAAAAGTCTCAAAGGCTGCACATTGTCCTTTCTGTGAGGGAGCATTTTAGAAGCATTCATCTCTTTAGATGTCTGGTTCCTATTACCACCACTGTGAACAATTACAACTCTCTAAGTTTCTCTATGATGGAACATTTCACATCAAACTACTCTGAGGGATGTTTTAATAATGTAGAAATATTGAAAAATTGATGGAATTGCCCTTTTATGCAAGTCAGACATTTCACTTTTTTCTTTTGTTCTAAATAACTTCACACTCCAAATACTCAATAAGAATCATTTAGAATTTTTCTCATTTTTACTTGCGCAGCTTTTTGTCTAAGGTCCAGCAGCTGAGATTCGAGCTCTGAGAAGTGAGGTTTATTTTAAACTGTGCTGTAATTGCTGTAAATAGCTTCCATTTCACATTAGGCTACCTCAGGCTTAATGTCTCCTTGCTGTTGTTTTTATGCAGTTGTTCCACTTTCTCTCTGTCTGTCTGTCTCTCTCTCTTACTGTCTCTGAAGGGATTTTCCACTGTGTATTATTGTAGCTAAATACTGCTATGCCTGCCTGCCATAACCTTTACCTCAGTAACTAAAAGGAAATAGTTTTTTTCAGTTTTTCAAATAAAACCTGTGAAACAAGTGCCGTGCCTCATGGGAATAACAAAATGCCCCTACAATGTCAGAAATATCACTTTTTATTGTTATTGTGTGGATGTTTGGCACACACACCCACACACACACATAAACGAACACACCTGTCCCTAAATGTCCCCACATTTTTAGGTTTTTCTGTCAGTGTGGGGACATTGTGTTTTTATGAAGGACTAAGGTCCCCACACTGATAGAAAAATTGACATTATACAGATATTTTGCTTCTCTCACTCTCTCTCTCTCTCTCACTCACACACACACACACACACACACACAGACACGTCCTCAAATACCCTCACGTTTTCATGTTTTTCTGCCAGTATGGGGACACTGTGTTTATGAAGGTCGCCATACTGACAAGGGAATATGAATTTCTGACACACGTGTCCCCATATGGCCTCTTCTTGTCATGTTTTCCTGTCAGTGTGGGGACACTGTGTTTATCTTTATGAAGGACAAAATGTCCACACTGACAGGAAACTCTTACAATTCTGACATTTTGGGGACGTTTTGCTGTACACATGTACACACACATATCCACCCACACATCCACATATAAATACAGACCGCTGGTATGTGTTTGTGTGTGTGGTTGGTGGTGTCATGCTGCTCTGACACCCCAGGCTCTTTTTATAAAGACGATTTGATTTTATGGACCTTGGCCTGAATCCTGGAGCAGGATTATAGCTGAGGCTCTGCAGTCTATTCACACTGGCTGCTGGGACAGTTCTGCATTTACACAACCCTCTGCCCTCTCCTCTCGCCTGTGTGTATGTGTGTGTGTGTATGTGCATACATGACAGAGATATGGGAATGAGAAAGAGAGCAAGAAATAAAGAAGAACTAAATGTGGGGAATTTAGAATAACATTCTAAAAAGAGGTAGAAAGTGCTGGAAAAAACATATCACACTGTAACAGTGTGGGATGAGATTTATGTTAGTGTTAATGCAGTTAATGAACCAGTGCTTCATGAGTATTGCTCTTTGACACCAATGCCGGTATAAATATTGCCCAGGACTAATATGAATATAGAAAATATTCGGACAGCACCAGCATAGATTTCTTTAAATATTCATTTAAGGTTCTCACAAAAACGTGTGCACTGTTTTGGGAGACTACTAAACAAAAAAAATTAAGGAAATTATGCTAGTACTGTTAATTTTTCTCTATATTAGCAAAAGGTTAGCAAAAAATAAATCTGAATAAAAGAGATTCCAAGAAAATACAAACAAAAACGAATGATGAAAAGTGAATTGGGGACTGAATTGGAGATGAATTACAGTGAATTAAAACAATGTAGGGAAAAAACTAATTGAAGTTACTGGATTCAAGAAATTATTCTTTTTTTTTGAATGACGGAGAAGAAGGACTAAAGGAGAGAAAGTGAAAAAGAGAGAAACTTATGAAGGAGGATATACAGAGCGAGGTTGTTTGTAGGATAGTGTTGACTGGAACAGGGCAGGTCAGGGCCTGCCTGCTCATCTGTATAAATTCTTCCTGGGTCAGGAATAGCACATGGACACAGCAGAGAAGGGAGTGTTAGAGGCTGGCATCGTTTCAAAAAACTAGCCGTTCTTGTCCCATCAGCACAAGATGACACTGACAGAGAACTAGAGAGAGAGAGATCAAGAGAGAGTGGAGACAGAGGTGTGTAGCAACTAGTTACATTTACTCAGTTACATATATTTAAGTACAATTTTGATCAATTAGAACTTCTTTAGGTATTATCAGATAATGCTTTAACTTCTACATAAGAATATTTATATTGAGTTCCATTTTAGCCACTCGCACTGCGGTGCTAATTTGTGTTCATTCTATTCTATTGCTCTAATGTTGCTCACACTTGTTATTTTGGACTTTTAGACCAAAAGGATCCTAAAAAGAGAAGAATGGAACCTAACAAACTTCAGTTCCTGTGCTGATAAATGGATGTATTAACAAATTCAAACGCAGTTCTTAAGTAGTTTTTTTGGCCCGATACTCTTTAGCTCATACTCAGGTTGTTTTATGTTCACTATTTTTACTCGCTGTTTCATTAATGTTGGCCCTATCCTCAGAAGATCTCACATCAGAAGGTTTGCAGCTATGCCACAGCCATCTGTAGCCAAGCGTGCAAGAGAGCATGACTGGCTTTGCTGGGTAGGATGCATGTGTGGAAAAAAAAGTACCGAGAAATTGTAGTAAAAATGATAACGAGCGTATGAATGTTTGCCAAACTCAATTAGAAGTGGAAGCCAAAAATAACCTTGAGCAAAAGTAAAAAATAAAAAGCAGTGACATTTAATCTTACGCAGACAAAGGTAAAAATAAACAAATATATTATATGAATTTCATTGGAAAAAATCTTGCTACATTAAATTTCATTACAAGTTAAGAATGCTTTTCCCTTCTCCTGTAAAGTTATCATTTTGGAGATTTTCTGAAGGTTTTCTGACAGCTACGCTATTCATAATCATTTCAAATGACTTTCTGAGAAACAGAAGAAACGCTGTTAAACTCTTCAGATGTCTGGTTCCTATCACTACCACTGTGAACATTTCTGACTGACTGACTTTGAATGACTGTTTACTTTTTAAAGATTAGTGGAACTCCCCTTTATGTATGGTTTAAAGGCTATTACCCACCTCTGAGAGAGAGAGAGAGAGAGAGAGAGAGAGAGTGAGAGAGCTTCCAGATGATTTCTCATGACTCTGCTTAGAAAAAAAGGACACCACACGACATGCTCTACAAACAATTAGCTTCTTCACAAACAAAGGTTTTACATTCACAAAAAAAGCAGTGCTAAAAAAAGACATATAAGCTAAGCTGCATTTTCGCTAGTTTTTAGTTTGTAGATGTCAAGGACAGTGTCATGTGCTCGATGGCATCATCAAATGGCTATGGGCCAGTGATCTCAGGAAATTGTTTACAGTCTATTTACACAAAAGCAGAGGGGGGGACAGAGTCTCTTCCATTTCATCCGAAACCGTCCATCGTATTGTTTTATGCTAGGATCAAGTGGAAATATGAAATGCAGACTGTTTTGTGATGTAAATTTAGCAGAGAGAGGTAGACCTTGAAAGGCAGTGACTGGGAAGAGCCTCGTAAAATGCATGTACTACAGAGCACAATGTCTGTTTTAACTCTCGAATGGAAATGGCCCGTGGCAATGAGGACTGCTCCAATGTTAGAGTTGTTAGTATAGCACTAGACTTAGCTTGAGGAGCTCTGTGAATCAGACAGGCTGATCCAGAGGTTAATCCCGAGCAGCCATGAACTTAGACATCATGCGGGGCCTCCTCAACCATGAATCCTCTTTCACTCACTGTCAGTGAAAAGGCAGTACTGTCTAGAAGTCGTTAAATGAGTTAAGTGAAAAGTTCCCCGAGGACAGGCCTGCAACCAAGATTTTATTTTGACAGCTAAACATGTTTCACTGTTGTATTTGGTGGTTTACAGTTTAAACAAATTCCGTTGGAAACAGCACTATGATGCAGCTGATTACTTGCTATTTTTTTAGTTTTCAAGTTTGATGAGAGTGCCATGTCAGTGTATTTCTGTAAAAATGGAAGGAGCTGGTGTCATTGAGAAATAGGAACATAATGTTGAAATATTATTGCAACAATAATAATAATAATAATAATAATAATAATAACAATAATAAAACAAATTATCCACAACTCTTTAGAAAAACAAAGATGAGTCTCATGCCATGTAAAATTAGTTCTTCGTCCACTGCTCCAGTGAGAGCCCACCTAATTCAGCTGCCCAACTTTAACTTCTTATTGGTCAACATGCCAGTCTGTCATCCAGCGCTCAATATGGCCTCCACACTGCTTCAGCGGACATGTTAGTTGGGGAGCTGCTGTGGCTTCCCTCTGCCTCCACGACAACGTCGCTCTGATTGGGCAATGAGGGGTGGAGAAGGGCGGAGCCTGTAGAGGCGTTGGTGCAGGGTGGCAGAATCCGGGGTGGGGAACGTTCTCCACCGCCTCCCCCGGGCATCATGGAGAACTGGTATGAACCAGCAGTGGTGCTATAGTAGAGATGATAAGGTGAAGAGCTGGCCGGGAAGGGTCCACCTTGGCCCTGGGAGGAGCCAGCAGGATAGGGTGGCGGGAGGTACGTGTGGTAGCGGCCAGCGGGGGCGGTCATGGCAGACATGCTGATGCCGATGGCGTTGGTGACAGGAGTGGGGGTGTAGGTGAAGGCTCCAGTGGGGTAGGGAACGCGGGGATCAGAGAAGCGGCTGTCAGGGAGTGAGGGGATGGAGGAGAAGGAGCGTTCCAGACCCACACGTGGGTCAGTGAATGCTGTCAGGTCTGGACCTGAAATGGAGAAACGTTTTGGGTCAGTCAAAGTACTTTCGGATGTAAATCTATAGTGCAGGAATATATATATATATATATATATATATATATATATATATATATATATATATATATATATATATAACATGGTATATATCCAAACCGTTCAACCACAGAGAACCATAAATAACTGATTCTTACATTCTTAAACCCACAAATTGATCTCTATACACTTATACTGGTCAGTTACATTAGTCTTGGCTGTTTGATTATATTTGGGTAATGGGGAATTATGTCCATTTGAATTTTAAACCATCACTGTAACTAAAATATATTTTATATTTGACTGAATTTCTAGACTTTCTAGACTTCTAGATTTTCTTGCCATGTGTCTTAACACACATTCAAGTCATTGCAATTTTTATGCATCTCATCACTGTGTCCAAACATTTACAACATGGCCTCCTTAATTATCTAAAGATAAAGCACAGATGCATCAAGAAAGATAATATGTAATATGATGCTACATTTGAGGGCTTACAGTGTATGGGGTTGCGGCTGGGGGAGATAGGCGTTGTTGGGTGAACGGCTGGTGCAGATATAGGGCCCAGGTAAGGGTAGGATTGTTCATAAGACCAGGATGGAGATGTCTGCATTTGTCTGGAGTCTGAAAAACAAGGAGATGAAGAACACATCAGGATAAGTTAACAAAGAAGAACATCCTCTCATACATATTCACACAATGTTTTTAATATATCCTCCTGATCCTAATTTTGGTCACCTCTTCAACTTGCTTTAATCGGAAGGAATTGATGCTTAATGTGGCTTATGTTGCTATCAAGGTGATACAGTGTGTTTCTCCAAATTTGATGACAGTTTGTCACAGAGCGAGTTTATTTGTATTGCGTGCATTGTAATACTGGTAGACCGAGTAGACCTTTAAGGTGCTTTAAGTCTCTCTATCTTCATGCAATAGAATAGGCAGGAAAAGAAATGCGTGAATATATGTGTGGAATTAGAAGCGGGCAATATGACAATATTTTATCATTATTGTGAAAAATTATGTAACAGTACACTTTCCTGAGCATATCATGGATATTGTCAGTACTTAAAGAACACTGACAAACTGTTTCATTATAAAGTAAGCATATTTAGACTTGTTTAACCGCTTAAAATGCCAGGATTATTACATGATAAGGCTTAATATTCAGTAACTAAAGGGGCTTCAATACAGACTGGTTGAGCTATTCTTAGGTTATATATTAGTCTATATAACTTGAGGCCCATCGGCCGTCCCTGGCCATGTAAGGGGTTAATTGGATTAAGTGGAGCACGGTTTGTAAAACACAATCAAAATCACTGTTGTATTATTATTAAGTATTATTATCATCTATATATTACTTTTGCATATGGCACTACAGACTCTATTTTGTACATTCTAACGTATTGAATCTCAAAAAAAAACTAACTGTCATAATACATATCATGAATTGTGAAAATGTCTAATAGTATAATAATGTAATCTTCTTGCCGTATATTCCAAATAGGAACAGGAGATATCATCGCTGTAATAAGACAACTCTTAATCTCAGAAACAGGAACTTTATGAGAGAAGGGAGAAAACAATCCTAACCTCTGAAAATGTTAACAAAGTCATTTTGGACTATTGGAACATTTATTATACAAAGGGCAGTGAATAGTTTCAAATGGTAAAAAAAAAGAAAGAAAAAATCTAAACTGAAAAAAAGCTTTTCAATTTACAGTGACGATATGTGGATTTTACACAATGATACACTAGTAAAAGTTCTTTGGCCCTAGAACAGAGAACAGGCCCAGCCAACAAGGCTGGTGACCCACCCCTCCTCCATCCTCCATTCGGCACTTCATGGTGCAACGTTTCAGCACCAGGCTACACACTGACTGAGGAAGATGGAGTAAAGGAAAGAAAAGCCAAAGAAACAACTGTTCCAAACTATGATATGCTCAGCTAACTCTGACATGGCTTTTGCCTCAATCCGACAACAGTATCAGGGCTAATGCACATCTCGAGAACAGCCCCTGAAAACACCCAGAGCAAAACAAACACCAAGAGGCCAAGCAATTGTGAAAGAAGAGGTAGAAGGAGACATTCTCTCAGCATGAGGGCTGGAACTCCTTTTCTTTCTTCTTTTTTCCTTGTCTCACTCTCCCTCTTCTCTCTTTGTCTCTCTCTCCCCTCGTTCACTTCCATTCTATTTCTCTCTGCCTCTTCTTACCTTCTCTCCGTATATCGCTTTTTCCTTCTTTAACTCTTTTCCTCTTTTACTGTACCACTCTCTTCCTCTTCTTCTTCTTTCCATCTCTCCTTATCTCTCTTCCTGTTCTTGTCACTCTGTTCCTCTCTTTCTCTCTTCTTTTTCTGCAACTCTCTCTCTTTCTTCCTTTTCTTATCTTTCGCTCTTCTCTCTGTCCTTTCCCTCTTCTTTCTGTTTCTCTTTTCTCTCTTTCTCCATCTTTCTACCTCTCCCTCTTCTTCTTTTACTGTCTCTCTCTTCTCTTCTTCTCTTTTCTTGTAGTGTTCCTCTTTTCCTTTTCTCTCTCTCTTCTTTTTTCTCTCCTTCTTGTTGTCTCTCTTTCTCTTTTCTCTCTCACTGGCTCCCTTGCTCCCTACGGTCTAATAAACGCTCGCCGATAGCCTGCAGACTTCCAGACAGAAGGGGAGGGCGAGCCATCAGAGAGGAAGCAAATTACGCACGGCGGCCAAAAGCAGAGTTTCGGACCGTTTCAAGTGGAGCCAGAGTGCGGCCCACTGCCAAAGCACCCCCCAACACCCCCCTCAGGCTCCTTCCAGAAGCCCCCCTTTTTCCTGCCTCCCCTCCCCAGGCCCGGCGGTTCTGATCTGGGGCAGGAGTCACACATGGCTGGGTGGGCGGCTGGAGGCGGATTCGGGCATCCGGAGCCAGTGAAGGCTCATTCATTTTTTACTGGGCTCCCACACACAAACACACACACATGCAATGTACTATACGTGAGAGAGAGAGAGACAGAGAGACAGAGAGACAGAGAGAAAAGGGAAGGTTGGGTGAAAACACAAACACACTGTCCCTTTAAGAATGAAAAGAGAAAAAAGAGAGAGGGATGGAATGCACATGAGAGTCAGAGTTTGGTGTACAGGTTGAACACAGAGGTGGGCAATATGGCAAAAATATAACACTGCGATATTTCAAGACATTTCTATGATGTGCAATATTCATCCTGATATTTAGTTTTCTGAGGTTTGTTAAGTTGCTACTAAAAACAACACTGTCAAAAACTATGAATACAATGAGTTTTATTTCATGTTTTAAATGCTGCACTGCACCAATTAACAAGTCCTAGTTATGTTCTGTTTGTAACATGCAGTGGGTCAGTCTTCTTTTAATATGATATTGTTTATTTTATATTGTTTATACATGATAAACAATATAGTCAGAAATGAACACTGTGATGTAATATAATAATTTATCATGATAACAATAAATATCATCATATTGCCCATCCCGAGTTGAACACACACACACTTAAATAAGTGCTGCTGTGTATTACACTCTTAAAAATAAAAGTAGGTCTTAGCTTGGTCATTTACACTATGTGGAAGTTCTTCAAACTTTAAAAAGCTTCTTCACGCTCAAGCACCTCATTTAATCATCTATAATTTACAAAAAATGGAAACTCATTTATAAAACATACTTGAATTGCATTCTAAATTTGTTCTTAAGATACAGGCCCAATATTTCCATACTGCTGACTGTAAAAACAATGTTTACCCATCACATACCATAATGCCTACAGCACACTCAGACCACTGTTAGCATTTTAAGCTCAAATCTCAGCATAAGACTATTTTATGACTTTAAAGAACCATTAACTGAAAGGTTCTTCAGGATTCTTCTGTGACATTGCTCCAAAGAATCAATTTTAGTACCTGCATTTTTAATTCCTGTAATGTGGAAAAAGGGTTCACAAAGTGTCAGTTTTTAAACCTGGGAAACTGGAAATTGGCTTTAAGAATTTTCATAAAAATAGACCATTCTTATAACATTCATTCATATTTCTTATATTTGCACTACATTTAAAGAAAGCTAAAAAGAAACTCCATTCGACTTTCATTTTACCTTTTTTTGGGAAACTAAACAAATCAGATGTTGATGTTTTATATTGTGAAAAGGTTCTCATTTGAACAGTGCACACACCCATACTATTGATCCTTATCACCATACTAAAATATTTTTCGAGTGCCTTGCCAAATTTCAGGCTGTACTTCCTAAAACTTCACTCATGCAGTTAAAAACAGATTCTTTCATTTCGCTGCTGCTATGCCACCTTCTTTCAGCACATACATACAAACAAATGATCCAGACACAAACTTCTCCAAATACAAACTTCCTTATTTTCACTCAAATGAGGACACAATAAAGCTCATGAACACCAAAACACACACACACACATACATATACACAAGCCAACCCATGGCCCCAGCTGCTCTTGATTTTCTATAACATGAAAAGAAAAATACAGAGCGAGAGAGAGAGAGAGAAGCAGAGAGAGAAGTGAGGGAGAAAAAAGAGAGCAAGCTCTTGAATGACTTAATAACGGTTTCCGCTGGCTCCATTCCCACTGCTATTTCTGGCGGCAGGATCAGAGAGGAGAGAGCAGCACGCGGCAGGAAATAGACTGTTCCACTGGTGTGCACACGCAGCCCGGCCCGGCACAGTGCTACCACCATCCCTCCATCTCTCAGCCCCCCGCATCACTCCACTCTCACTTCATTCCTCATTCACTCTTCCATCCAGGCCTTTGTGGGGACATTGTCACTCCATCTTCTGTTCTCTTTCTGTTCTTTCTCTTTTTCTTTCAATGATCATGCTGTGTGGTCATGTTTGGTCTAATACATATATAGTTATATTCAGTTTTTATTATATACACAGACTGGCCACGTTAATTAAACACATCTCCTTGTATTTACAATCACTGTCCATTTTATCAGCTCCACTCTCCATTTGTGCACTTTGTAGTTCTACAATTACAGACTGTGGTCCATCTGTTTCTCTGCATACTTTGTTAGCCCCCTTTTACCTTGTTCTTAAATAGTCAGCATCCCCACAGAGCAGGAATTATTTGGGTGGTGTCAGTCTCTGCACTACACTGACGTTGTGATGGTATGTTAGCGTGTGTTGTGCTGGTACGAGTGGATCAGACACAGCAGTGCTGCTGGAGATTTTAAACACCTCAGTGTCACTGCTGGACTGAGAATAGTCAACCAACCAAAAATATCCAGCCAACAGCATCCTGTGGGCAGCGTCATGTGACCTCTGATGAAGAACTAGAGGGTGACCAACACAAACTATGCAGTGACAGATGAGCTACTGTCTCACACTGACTTTACATCTACAAGGTAGATGTGTCTAATAGAGTGGACAGTGAGTGGGCACAGTGTTTAAAACTCCAGCAGCACTGCTATGTCTGATCCACTCGTACGAGCGCAACACACACATACCACCACTATGTCAGTGTCACTGCATGGCTAAGAACGATCAACCATTCAAATAATACCCGCTCTGTGGTGGTCCTGACCATTGAACAGGGTAAAGGGGGGAGCTTACAAAGTATGCAGAGAAACAAATCGACTACAGTCTGTAACTGTAAAACTACAAAGTGCATCTATATGGTAAGTGGAGCTGATAAAATGGACAAAGAGTAAAGAAACAAGGAGGTGCAACAAGAATCCACAAGCTGTATGAATGAGAACAAGAGCATCACAATCAAGGCAGAGTTGGAACTGTTGCTCTCACTGGACATCAGTGAACAAAACTGTAAATTGCATTCACTATATGGAAATTGTGCAATTTTCATGTTCAGTTTAATGTGAACCTTGCATTCATATGATGGACATAATGTTATTGAATTACTGACACTATTAAATATATTCTGATGAAACTTATTTTGTCCACTCATATAGCTATAACAAAAAGCACTGCTTTTTGAATTAAAATGATCTTCAAGGTCAAATGTGAGCAAATAAGACAAATATGATTAATGTGATAAATGTGATTAGCTACACAAAATTACATGATTAATTGCAATCAAATATTTGTTTGACAGCTCTTTGAATAAGACACATCTACGACCATGACTGCTCAGAAGATGCATTTGCATACTGCAAGGATTGCAGTATTGCAAAAAAAAAGTGTTGCAACAATCTATAAACAATGTGTTCAGTCGTAAAATATAAAGCTTGAACTTCTCTTGGTTCAGAAAGTTTACCAAGTTTTTTTTTTTATCTCATTCTCTTCACTTACTTATTTCTCAAACACTCTCTTCTCAGTCACTAGATATTTATTAGCCAGATGCTGAAGGACTCTCACCGACCAGTTTTAAAATGTCTGATTTAGTTGTATTTTGAACTGGGGATTTTCACATACGGCTGCTTCCTGTCAGCTGACTCTCACTTCCCTCTTTTCCCAGGTCTGCTTCCTCCTAGAATACATATGCAATATCTCTCTTTCTCTCTCTCTTTCTCTTGTTCACTCTCTCACAATACACACATATATGCACACACAAACACACATACACACCTTACTCCTATTTACACTCCCTCATAGAGGAACAGAAAGTAACGATCTATCTCTCTCAGAGATACAGGCCCTCCTGCTAAACTAGGCCGATTAGGAAATGGCCAAAACAATGAACAAAAAAGCAGAAGTACTGTTAGCATGCTAATATAATACTTAGCACTTCCTTCAGTGAGACAAATTTCCCAGAAAAGAGGCCTTGGCCCATATGTTAAACAGGATAAAAAAAAATCCTAAATAAGTATTACTCACATTTCGCAGCAGGCAATTACGCACAGCTATTGTACTAAACATGTTAATAGCACAATGATGTGGAGCTTCCCACAAATGCATCATGTTGTACAGCCACTGTGAAATATATTAATCTATTAAGTTTTACCAAAAACAGCATGATGTCAGTATTTTGCACACAGCAGGGTAAGCGAGGCTTGGAAACCCAAAAATGAAAAGAAATACCTTGGCACCAGGTATTTAGAGGGTATGCCCATCAATATTTAAAAATTTCTGCATAATTAAATGGTTAATAAACTCAAACTTATTGAAAGTGGTTTGATGTGAAGTACTAGAGAAATGTACTGAGTCAGTACATCAGTTGTACCCAGTGGTGGTGAGGGGAATCAGAAGTCCAATATGTTTAACATCTTTACATTAGATGGTTATGAATATCCAGCCTGATGCATTTACAATAGTTCTGAGATAAGCCTTTGGCTTTTTTTCCATTTGCGGTGGATACATACATGCATGGTGTTATAAGAAAAAATAGTCTCTAAACAAAACTTATTTTTTAGATTTACAGCATCATCAACATCACATATGCAAACTCAAAAGACAAGTGTAGGTTTACTGGTGATTTTGGATAGTAAATATTTGTATATATATCACAGTTTCCAACCAAAATGCATGCTTAAGGGCAATGACATGTTCAGAATGTGATGCAGGCCTGCTGTCACACCGTTCTTCAGAATTTGACTTAACAAGCTGCAGGTCAAACATTATGTTATGGAAGTTATCTAATGAATTTATTTTCTGTTTTCATATATGCTGTATCAGTCAGTGTTTTGTGATCACAAATAACAGCACAGGTAAGAAGCTTCTCAACCAATCAGACTGTGCCGTCGGAACTAACTGTTGTACATTTAGGACTAAAACTTTGTTGTGATGTGTACTGAAATGTATAGTGTGTGTGTGTGTGTGCCTGTGGTTCGTAACTGTGCGTTTGTGGTACCATACTCAGATATTGTGGTGTCTGTGTGTGGTGCATGAGTATGTGACTGAATGTGTGTGTGTGGTGCCATGCTCAGGCATGCTCATCTAAGTTCCAATCAAAGGTGGCCTTGTTCTCTTTATTTGTTATGTCTGTATATTCGATGGTGTGTGAAGAAGTGTGTGTCCCTACATCCCCTCAGGTCACTTTGCAGAAACAAACAAGACACCAAACACACAGACAGACACCGAAATAGAAAAACAACTGCCACAATAAATTATAAGAAATAAAACTGTGCCATTTATCCATCTGTTTTCTCATTCCTTTCTCCTTAAAAGACATTTCCTAGGAATTCAATGTTATAAAGAGCTTGTCTAATAGGACTTAGCTGTAGCTAAGGGTTGGCAATATGACAGAAATTATAGTCATATGCCAAATTTTAAAAACACATATTTTGCTGATTTTCTAACTAAAAATACACACACCCTCTACAGGGAACATACTTAAATATGGCATTTTCTGCTATTGTACAATGTACAATTGAAGTGTGTTGCTGTTATAAAATTTGTTACTGTATGTTGAATTCAATATTTTGAAAAAATCAAACATTAAATATAAAATGTGCCATTAAGTCACTTTTGGTGTTATTATTTTTTTTTTATATGTTTAACTTATTAAATGAACAGTAATTGTGCATTAATGTGTGCAAAAGTGGGTTCTCTGTAAAGGATAGGTTAACTTATTTTCATAGTGTAACTTGATCGGGGTACCTAAACTTCAGCATACTGCTGCAACATCACTATTAGGGCTTGGTATAGAAATGTCATACTTTTATGGGACTGATTGAATTAACATTTAACAAAAATGGCCATTCAATGGTAATATTGGTACTGGGCCAAAAAAAAGAAAATCGCTTGTTTAATCCCTGGAGGAGTTAAACTGCATACACAGCCCCATTTATAACAGCTTCTGTTCTTGTTGGATTTTTTTTCCAGAGTGCATTTCAAATTGGTAAGCGTTTATTATTGTTTATTGCTATTATTATTGCTGATTAAGTGCGACTGACATGCGACTTCCTATTCCTGTTTATACGTTTTCTTATTTAAAATGACAGTTTGTGACACAAACTTCTTGATTAGTCTGTAATCCGTTACAGTCAGTACATATAACTACATATAGCACGTTACACTCATTTCTGGTTTAAGCCACACCCATTTTCAGTCTGTAATTTAAAAGAAGGAATCGCTCTGGAATCTGTACTGAAGTCATAGTATTAATATCGAAAAACATGGAATAATAACCAGCCCTAATCACAATGTGTGATGGCATTTTCACAATATACAAAATCACGATATCACAATATTTAGTTTTTCTGAGATTGGAGCAAGTTGAAACAGATACCTATGATATTCAAACACATATCCTGACATGATTTATCACAATAAAAATAACATACTGTCATATTGCACACCCCTAGAGGTAGCCTCTTGAAAATCTAAAGCTTAATGTTCTGAAGCACCTTTTATAATAAAATTATTGTAGCATTTTTAAGAAATGTTTTTGACATGTTAGTTTTAGGTTGTGTGTTCTTCAGCATTTACTGCACTTGGTTCAGTTTGCTAAGGACTCACTGTAGAGGACGAGGCTATGAACTGCTGGGGCTTTGTGTGGTAGACAGGAGCTGAGTGAGAGAGACACGAGCGAATGAGCTGTGTCTCTTTTAGTAGTGGTGAACGCTGCACTATTCTTTGGCATTCTAAAGACAGCAGGATGGAGGCAGAATAAGAACAGTTTCACGCTACGAAAGGTTAGGTTTCGACTGAAGAAACAGAAACGAAAAGATAATAATAGAATGGAACATGATCTTTACATTAATTTCTTTAAACTCATTAAATCCATTGGGTAACTCACCAGGTATCTGGCTGTGGGTGGGGCTGCTGAAGGGGGGAGTGTTAAGGGTTGGCCGGGGGTTGGGGGCGGCGGCCTGGTGGGGGCTGCACCTCATTGCGCTCCGTCTCAACTGCTCTGAGAAGGCCAGTGCTCCGGGCTTTACAGATTCCTCCAACTTCTGTCTGTGGCCTACACACACACACACACACACACACACACACACAAACACGTGAATTCACTGTTCAAAACTTTGTAATCATTCAGTCAAAACCAATTTTGTTGCAGATAAATGCATAAAATGCATATGGTATATGTGCTCCACGTTTTGGTGATCATATCTCAAGATTTCATATTTTGAGTTTTTTGGGAAGGCCAAAGGGTGTTAAAAAAAATAAAATAAAAATAATATTGTAATTATCTATTTACAATAATTTCTTGCCATCTGCCTGATTTGATGCATGATTATAAAAGCATTAAACTGCATAACAATGAGCATCCATTTTAGACTACTGCATTAAAGCTGATTCTTCAGCCCACCCACAACATCAGCTAATCATCCTTAAGATCTATGTTGCCTGGTGCTATAACACACACTCTCCCACTTCTATTTTTCCAGATCCTTTTCCTATTCCCTTTCATACATCAATAATGACTCCCAGATCCTGTCGTCTGCAGTATATCTGGGTCTTGAGACCCTGCTGGTGTAGTGGCACTATAATGTCTTGGAACAGCATGTTTGTGTTAGATGGAGAGGAAGCCACTTGGCAGGGCCTGTGAGCTGGACAGAGAAATTAAGGGAGAAGAGATGGAGAGATGGAAGGTTGGAGGAATGGAAATATTGGAGTAGATGTTAGAATGAGGTGTTGAAGGTGAAGACATGGATCTACTGGGCATATATTTTAATAATGACTATTTGGACAGCCATAAATACTCGAACAAAATGGCTGAAAAATGCACTGGAGATGCAATTCTTTTGAACACGTACCAATGTGAAAGACTGATTTCTGCGTAATTACATCATTAAGATGTAAACAAAGTCATTCAGAGCGGTTTGATTTGAAATAGTGAGTGTTCACAGTGGTAGTAATGGGAACTAAATGTCTGAATCATCTCACAGAAAGTTATTATAAGAAATGGTTACTAAACCGGCACCTGATGCCTGAGACATTGTCTTACCATATTTCTGAGATAAAATTTAAAAAATATGTGTTTTATGGGCGTGTTCAGACTTGGCAGGTTTTGTTCAATTAAAACCTGGTGCAATTGTTATGTTAGTGCAATTTGTTACAACAAACTGTGGTGCACACCAAATAATCTTTGGCATGTGTTTTATCATCAGCTCTGGATTGGTAATTATAGAATGGATAGTTTTAGTTTTAAGACGAGGCCGAAGTCATTATAAAAAAAACTTGATATACACATTGCGCAAAAAATTATATTATGTATTAAAGTGCCAAGGTTTCTCCATTTTGTAAAAGCAGTAAGCCACTCAAGGCTGTGTTACTGGGATTTCACCCTGCTTTGCGTCGAGCAAAACCGCAGTAATGCAGGGAGTCTCGTGGCTTATTGCTCCAATATCACAAGGCAGATAAAACAAGAAACAAATAAAACCAATGAGCCCAGATAGAACAGAGAAAACCGCGATGAATGTTTGGTGGACATTATCACAGTTTTGGTGGTCATGAAATCTGCCCAATCAGTTGTGACCTTTTACTTGTACGACTTTTGTTTACATCTTGTGGTTTGATGTTAACTATGTCAGTGTGAGTCTAAGCAAACCAGAACTAAAATGGAACATTGTATAATTTTCTGCTTTGGTCTGAACCAACGGAACCAAAGCACCAGCATAAATGAATGCTAAAAATCTATTAATGGTAGAGAGGTACATGCAGGGCATTGCAAGGCAAAGCAGTCCCCAAAGAAAACATATTTTTTCATATTTGCCATTATTATCGACATTACCTATAAAACTCAGAAGACGTGTAGGTTCACTGGTCATTTTGGATAGTGAATAAAATGACTTGCAGACAGCACAACCTCTGGTTCCTATCACTACTGCTGCAAAGAAAAGAGTCGGTAAGTTTCCCTACCATGCACCCATCCACATCAAACCATTCTGAAGAGCTTTGTTTATACCTTAATGATTGAATTATGCAGAAACTTGGCGGAAAAATGGCGTAATGCTCTTTTAACGGTACTCTCCAGTGTTTATTTATGTGCTGTATCTGTAGTATATGGTTAGCACAGTTACTGAAGCAACTGCCTATAGGTTTCTACTGTAAGATTTTCTGTTTTCTAAGCACAGCAAAACACATCAAAACCTGTGGTAATCAACTGTATGATATAGATGTGGAAGATAAAAATTAGATTTAAAAAAGTATTTCTTCAAGTATTAGTGTAGATGAATGGCATTAGATGTTAGTCCATTGGGGGGCACTGTGGGTTTCTTCATTCAGCTGATGACACAATGAGAGTATTTACATGTGTGTAAAGGGCCAGGTGATGGACATTTCTGTTTGTGTCAGAGCATGCACGCTAACTTGTGTGCTAACATGTCTGCGTGTGTGAGTTTAAACTGTAGGCAGGCCAGCTCACAACTTGAATACGTCTCCTGCAGACCGCACACATAGATGAGCGGAGAGCAGGAGGGATTAATGATCGCAGGCGATGAGAGGCAGAAAAGAGAGGGAGGGGGAAAAAAAGAACAGAACAAAAAAGACAAGTCTCTCAGCTGTGCAAAACCATCAGCCACACTCGCCCTCTCACACACACAGACACGAGGAGAGGAAGTCCTCCTGAAACCAGAGCCTGCGTCTGAGGGCTTTGAAGAGGAGGCCAGTGGACAGAGCCGGCCAGACAGAGCTGGCATATGTGGAGAGGCGCCGCCCGGCGGATTCCCGACCGGAATAACGGACCAAGGGGGAATAGCCCAGCAGCAGGCGCTAGCACAAGGGCGGAGCGTGATATGCTCTCATATAAACCTGTGCTATAAAAACCTAACCCCTCTGCACACACACATTCAGGTTTCATACAATGTCAAGACCTTATGATCACACATATGCCCATACGTTTTTATATCGTCATTGCACAACAAAATTTGACGAATGAAAGTTAATAGAACATACATTTTTTCAAAGCAGATTTGGGCCATTCTATTGTTCCATTCACAATGAAATTTTAAAACAATGTAGAGGGCACCTGGAATTTTCTTTTAAATTCTATAAATGAATATTCTATCTTCGCTGTCCAAAAAAAACATATATATCCATTTTTATTTTTATTTTTGTACATAATTTGAGCATAGCAGATGCCCTTTATATAGTCAGAAAATTGTAGGATGAATGGTCTAAAAGTACTTAAAAGATCTTGTTAAAAATTAAAATAAAAAATAAAATAATCTAATATATAAGCTATAACCTATATGTAATGGCAAATGTAATGGTCTCACATGTATTGTAAGTGCAAGTACCTCAATATTAATCTTAAAATCAGGAAGCAAAAAAGAAATGGCTTTGCCCTTTCAGTTGTAAAATGAGAAACATGCACTTCACAAAGTCATGGCCATTTTGTCGTAGGTTAACCCTATTTTTCTTTTATCTAGGATAATACACAAAACCAAGCAGAGATACACAGATTTACACTACACACCTGACAGTACACAACATACACACACTCATGCATAGTACTATGCAAAAGATCTCCTCATAAAATCACAGTTAAGCTGTTTGTCAGTAAGTGTTTATTGCTAACATTGTTATTTACATTAGTTATGTAATTACATTCTTAGCTTACTACGTCCAATCCTCTCCAGCCCAGTATTTGTAATTAGCATCTAACATACCTTCTTCAGAAAATCAAACTTTATGTTCAGTACTACTTAATTACTACTTAAAGTTATACTTCACAAGTTAAATCAGGTATACTGGTGCTTGAGTCTGACAAATACTTGTAATGATGAAGGTTTATCAATAAAAAGAGGAACCAAGCCTGTGTTCTTTTAATCATCTCACATGAGATTTGTTTTAATTTGTGTTCCTTTTTAATGTCTATTTATATGTATTTGTATAAAGTCATATAGTGCCATTGCATAAAAAACACACTTGTGGCTAGTGTAAGACTTTTGCCCAGTACTGTACAGCCACACACACACACACACACACACACACACACACACACACATTCACACACAGACGTGCTTTGGTCCAGGATGATAAACACTTTATAGCTGTGACAGGAATGACACTGTGTGCCAAGGCGAGTTTAATATATCCAATGAGGGCTGTTTTGGGACAGGTGGCTAGTTCTTTTTAATACGGTGATATTTTATATCACTTAAATAAAGAACTTGGTGCTATGGATGAACTGCATCACATAAATATACAGACAAAATCCTAATCCAGCGGTACCGACCACAAATATCACTCAACTAGTGCTGGATATCGTCTATATTGACCGCTTGGCACTGAAGCAACACAACAACACAGATTGTTTGTTTTAGCACTATTGACAGAAAACACAAGTTTAGTTCACTGCAATGCATGACATTTGCTGAGTGTTTCAAATTATTTTGTCAGAACAGTTCTAAAAACTAAATAAACACCAAGTTTCCTTTCTGTAAATGTTGTCTCTGTCTGGTTAATGTTCACAATACTGTGTGAGGCTTCCTTTGGTGTCATTTTTAGTGAAGAAAATAGAACAAAACAGCCCAATCAAAACAAGCGATGTCAAGTTTTTAAGACATCCTTTCAGAATGCCTTTTCCTTTCTTTTTATAATACCAGTACTAAGAACATAGGTTCATTAACTGTATTAATGTGATACTTTGGTACTGTGCACGGTTCCTACTCCCACATAATGCCAAATTAGAATTTTACCACCCTAGCACGACACTGAAGAAAAGAAATAACTCCAATGCTGTCTTTCACTGATAAAACCCACAGTCTGACTACTATTCACATAAATAGAAGTCAATCTGCCACACTATATTTACGTAACTTCTCACTGTATTCCACTCTTTACTCTGCAGCTATTAGTCTGCCATAAGAAGTTGTAGTGGTTTCGAAAGCTATGCCACAATCATCCATAGACGTCAACACACTACCACTATTAAAATACCACCAGCCACCACGTTATCATAACCAGCTGGCGCATAAACCTCAAGCACAATAAAACACATACGCATGTGTACACATAACCATGCATGGCTGGACATAAGAATGGCATGATATCTGACCGATTACTTACTATGAAATAAATGATGATGATAAAATGCTCGATATTTTGAGCACAGCTCTATTAAAGGAATACTCTATCTGAGTAACAACTTTGTCCTGTGCTCAATAAAACAACAGATTCAACATACTTATAATATAAGCCAATGTAATAAAACTATAACCCTTACATTAGTTTCCACTGTATGTTTTGAGTCAGTGGGTTTTCTGTTTTTTCCTAAGTAGATTACTGTAAATTACTGTCCACAGTAATCGATCACATGCTGCAAATGAGCCAGATTTTTATTTTATTGTTGGAGTATGCCTTTATGCCCTGGTGTATTTATTAAATATTGGCACAACTTACGACGTGGTTCTCTGGGTCCGTCCACGGTAATTTTAATGGCTCTCTGATAGGTAGCCACCTGGGGGGGGTTGGTGAACACGGTGATGGTGAGAGTAAAACTCTTTCCTGAAAGGAGAGAGAGAGAGAGAGAGAGAGAGAGAGAGAGAGAGAGGGTTATTTTGCTTATCTAATGCAAATGTTGGAGATTGCCATTGAAATGACCTTTCATTTCATTTGTAAAAAAACTAACATGATATAGTGAATGTTTCTCATGATCAGTATATACTTGAGATGAGATGACAATGTGAAGGGAGCAGAAACAGTATCACGGAGTAGAGACAGCGTCAGAATTAACTCTTGGAAGTTACAGTTATCATTGACAATAACAAAAGCATAATTAGCTGTAATTAGATCTCAATTATTTCTCAAACAAAACTTTCAAACTTTACCACATTTGTGTGTGTGTGTGTGTGTGTGTGAACAAGAGGAAATGTTGTATTGTGATCTGAATTTGATGAAAAATTATAGCTGAACAGTGAGTATTGTTTTGCAGAAAGAAAAAAGACTCTAAATTTACCATGATTTTGTCATTTCTTGATATCAAACCAAATGGAAAAAGTCACACACTGCACACTCAAACCTGTCAATGCGAAATGTAAATTGCATATAATATAAAATGTTACTGCAAATCATTGCAGTATGTAGTTGAATATGTAATTACGAATTGGCTAACGAAAGTAGCCACAGTTTCCAACAACGTTTGCCATGGTAAACTATCAGCAGCTCTCTTCCTTAGTAACACATGCAAATGACATGCACACACACACACACACACAAGCAAGACTGCTGGGTGTCTTAAGTATCTGCCTTTTGCAATGAGAGATAGAGAGAGAATGAGAGAGGGAGAGAGTATCTTACAGAGAGACTTTACTCCTCATAAACACTTACACAGACAAACTGAAACATGGAAAACACATGCACACACTATTCAGGCACATCAGCATCAATTCCATTTGAAACAAATCTGCTTAGTCTACAGCATCTATCAGACCGCACTTCAAAGACAAGGAAAGGCACAATACTATAATTAAATCAAGACTAAAACAAACCAAAATGCAAGAGAAATTCTATCAAATCTGTACATGATTAGAGGAATTAGTCATAATAACATCTAAATATCTCTTTTTAAGTTTTGCTGCTTTAGGAAATGTACAGCAGGGCAGAGAGTGATGGAGAGAGAGAGAGAGAGAAAGAAAGAGAGGAAAAGATAGAAAGATAGAAAGAGTGAGAGAGAAAGAGAGAGGAAGAGAGAGGGGGAGAGAGAGAGAGAGAGAGAGAGAGAGAGAGTGAGAGTGAGAGAGATGGGTGTTGGGACAAGTGGTCGCAGTGACCTGTCTCTCATCGCTATGGCAATGAGCTGGACCCCGGGGAAGTGACCACCTTAGTGCCAACGACAGGCTTAAATTACACACTGCTAAATAGGTCTGCCCATATTAGACCCACCCCCCCCACCACACACACACACACACACAGAGCAGACGTGCGGACACATACACACGCTTTGTTACTCAGACCAGATGACTAGACCCGGGAAGAACTCCAAGCTGTTCCCAAAAATCTGACAAACTACTGCCCACACACACTCACACAGACACACACACAAACACTCGCACATACCGAGCATGAGTGGGTCAGAGTCCAAGCACACACACTCATACAGTGCCAGGTACTATTCTCAGTCCTGTTACTGTGACAACACTTTCAGAAATTACCTCACCTCAACCCACCACCACACGCATATTTATAACACAGATATAAACTAATACTAGCACACAACCATTAAAACAAACAGCAACAAAGCAATAGGCATATATGATTGTAATATTTACCACAGACAATTGCAAGTGACTAATATAATCCTATTAATCTTTAATCTTTCTATTCTGTCCTATATATGTACTGTGCAAAAGTATGACACCATCCTTCACTTATTTTATTTCCAGTCAAAACAGCCACAAGTTACTCATTTTTCAGGATGATGTTAGATAGAAGGCAATCCGCTTGCATGAGGAAAGGGAAAGTATAAGAAAAATAAGTGAAAAATCAGACGTTTCCAAAAAATGTATCAAAAGATATGGAGAAGATGGAACTCCTAACAACCATGCATGACATGGTAGATCACCAAAACTGTCACCATCAGATAAACAGTACTTAAATCTTATAATAAGATAAGAGAAAATCAAACTTCACTGTTACTTCAGATCTGAAAAAATCCACAGGTGTTTCTGTCCATCCTTCCATTGTGAGAAGACAACTTAACGTTGTGGATCTAAAAACATGCATAGCTGTCAAGGAGCTGTTACTGATTAAAACAGAAAAAAGAAGAATATTTGAAAATCAAATAGCTACTGATGTTCTCAGATCAATGGACTGACCTCCACAGGGCCCAGATCTGAACATTATTGAATGTGTTTAGGATTATTTGGATCTTGAAAGCAATTCTTTTATATTATATTTAATTGTTGAGGCCTTTTTGTAATTATAATTTTTTCCCTTGGTGCTGAAAAATGAGAAACTTGTACTTAATGACCATTTTGACTTAAATCAAAGGCTCTGATTTTTGCACAGTACTGTATATATTAGGGATATGATATGATATCAGATTCATATTAGTGTTGGTAGATAATAGTTTTTAAAAATTCCAGAGCATTGGTGAGATGATTAGATTGGACTGATATTCAAATTTACTGTGCTCCAGAAATGCCGAATGTTAGGGGACGCTGTGCTGCTTTGCTAAAATATCAGATTTTTTTTTATTTTACTGCATTTATAACCCTGTAGAAACAAGGCTATATTTATGTGTAATGTTAATGAATGTAGATTTTATATAACATCAGCAGCGGCAGATATGTGCACGAAAAATAATGGAAATCGGCATTGGCCCTCAATTCCTATATCGGTGCAGCCCTAATGTATATTATTCATTTATATGAATTAACATTTTTATATATAGCCTACAACCTAACTATAACCCCTAATCTTAACCTTACAACTTTGACAGAACCTTAGTAACATATTTGGTCTTCATGAAAAGTTAAAAACAAATGCACACAAACACACACACGCATACACACACACTCACGCACGTTATGGCTGAGTAGTTTAAGTGTCTGGGAGAGAGACATTCTGTCTGGGAGGAGCACACATACACTGTCCAAACTGCCAGGAAGTGCAGAGCGTTCCTCAAGGGGACGTCCCCACGCACACACACAATCTGTGAGTGTGTGCGTGCGTGCAGACCATTGCCTCAGGACTGCTTGTGACTCACCAGTCCATCCATACACAGAGTCTGAGAAAACAAGTGACAAAGGAGGAAAAAAGAAAAACAGAGAGACAGACTTAAAGGAATAGAGACAGATGCTGTCTTTGTTTCCCTTTATCAAACACCATCAGAGGTGTATCAGGGTAGCGCATGTTTACGCGTGTGTGCAAGTGAGTGTGTGTATGTATGTGTGTGTGTGCAGTTTACATTTCTCTTGTACTTAAAACACTCTCTTGCTTTTTTCCAACCCGCACTCTTTTCCGGCACTAACCCTTAATCGCTTCCATCACTGTGGAGAGCGTCAGCTATCTGGTAGCACAAAAAAGGCAAACACACACACACACACAACTGCAGGACAAAAGGCTGCGTTAATATACGTGTTCAGAGTGGCAGGCTCCAGCATGTGGGGGTTTCGGCAGCTGCAGGTTAGTCAGGTGGGTTCTATCAGCTAAATCATATCAGGCCCTTGAATAGAACCCTGTGGGACTCCTTATTTCCCAGAAGAGCTGGGTATGTGTGTGTTTGTGTGTGTGTGTGTGTGTGTGTGTGTTAAAAGGCAGACGCCTTGTTGACTAATCTTTCTGTCACTGTGAAAGCAAAGGTATTCTCTCTCTCTCTCTGTCTCACTCACACACACACACACACATACACGCACAAACACACACATGCACACGCACTCACACACACAAACACAAACACGTTTGTAATATCATAGGAACATTTACCGACATATGTTTCAGCATTTTGAAACCCATGCTAAGCTTGCTAAGATGAATGATCCGAAGTAAGATAAATCATCCACTACTTTTATCACTGTTATAGTATCTCTGTTCCAAAAATAGCTTTATTGATCACACATCATAAAAACCACAGTGAACTGGAGCATGGGTATCAAGATAAACAATAATGCATCTCTGAAGTAAATTGTACTTCTTTGATATCCGTTAGAAAATCCACCCTAAATTATTAAAAGGACGCCTAAAGCTGTCTTAAAACATTGATGGATATTTGTATAAGCATGGTGATAATTTGAGACGTGCAAATTAGGAGTCTTAGGTTAACTTGACTCTAACACGACTACATTCAAAGCTTTTACTGCTGTATATGACATACAGTCTACACAGTTAGACAGTCAGACATTACTCGCTTATTTCAGCACACGTTACAGTGCAGTAGGTCAACGGACGGTTGTTTGACTAGAGGCACAATGGGCTGATTGAGGGCTGGCCGCTTGGCTAGCGTAAATAGAGACTGGTGTTTTAAATAGATAAGGGGCTGCGCATTTGACTGCACCTGATTTTGCCCGAGTCATGTCTAGCCGTCCGTTAAGGGAAATTCGAATGACAGGTTACAACTTCACAGCAGTGAGACAACTGTCGTTTGACAACCAAATACACTCACACATGTACATACACAGGCAATCATACATCTTGACAGGTGCAGACACACACACACATGTAAACTCTTCGGTTTCTGACTAAGGCACCCAGATATGCACCTCAAACATACAGTGCCATTACTGACTGTGCACCCTGAATATGAGCTTGTTCTGTAATAATCCAATCGCTTTTGTTTTGACTGTATTTCCTGTGCATGTGTGGTGTGTGAAAGTAAAAGAGAGAGAGAGAGAGAGAGCGCAAAAGAGCACGAGATAGAGTGCATGTAGCAAGGCCACCAGACAATGCCTGTCATGGACTAAAGGAATACATCATAATGAAAAACAGCAACATCTTCCCTCTGCCAGCTCAGTGATATAGAACAGAACCAGACGATGATGGGCACGGAAGAGAGGAGAGAAAAGCATCACACGCAAGATGAAAGTCAGGTTAATCTATAGCAGCTGCCTGTTCACGCTGCTTGCGGCTTACCTCGTCCGCTGCGGCCCACGAAGCGCAGGTCATTGAATCGAGCCACCTGGTTCTTAATGGCTGCCGTGGCATTGCGGAGTTCAGCTGAGTAATTCTCATCGTTTCCCGCCATCACTGTCACCAGTGTGCCGTCAGGGATATCGCCAAGGGCAACCACCTAGCGTCCAGAGACAGAGAGGTCAGATAATAACAGTAATAATAATAATAATAACTTGTATTGTTGGAATACTACTATTAATAATAGTAATAATAATAATAATAATAATAATAATAACAATGTTCATGTTAATGTTGACGTAACAATGTCTGTATACGCTGATCTACTCAATTTAATTGAACAGAAACCTGTGGCATAATTAAAGTTTTGTTAATGATTTATTTTTTGTGGGAAGAAGAACAAGTACACAACAAAGGATTTGTAGTTTTGTTATTTTGTAGTTTTTTCCTCTTTATTGTTATTATTATTAAGTAGTTTATATGTCAAATACATAGTCTTACCTAAATCTATCTTTATTATCACTTGGCCTAACTATATATAGCATATATAAAATACTTATGTATAAAGTATGTAAAATACTCTTATACTAAATTACATTTGGGAGTGTTATTATTTTCTTTAAATCACCTTTATCTGTTATAGTTCCAATAAAGAAAAGGGTCGGAACACCCCCTCCACACACACACACACACACACACACACACAAGCACACACCTAAAGCAAACAAGCACTCACAGCCTTATTTTCATATTAACTGTAATGCGACTGAAATATCAAGGCATGTACAGATGCCACCTTGTCTAACTGGGCTTTAACGTGCTGTTGGCTGAAACTCCATGATGGTGTGTGAAAATATAAGGAAAGCATTTCAGGTCACATGGAGGAATCAATGGCTATAATCACTGAGGGGTTTTCCCTAAAAGCAGTGAAACATGGCTTTGGAGAATTTTAAAGATCTGCCACGAGATCTGTTCTGATGAAAATTTCTGATGTTCTTTTCTTCTTCTTTTTTTTAATGTGTTTTTTTCAGACTGCTGGGGTTTGTGCTGGACAAATGTGTTTGAAATTGAATAGTTAATTACAGTTTTTTTACCCTAATATGAAGAAGAGTTTGTTAATAGGCAAGAGTGCAGATAATGTGGACGCAAGTGCAGACAAAACAAACAAGCAAGCACACAAACAAAAAAAGCTAAAAATATGACCTGTGCAAAAGTCTTGGCACCTGAAAACATTATATTTATAAAGATATTTAACTGGGCAGTGTTTATTTACTCAGAAAACCCTAATATTAGAACAAATACAAATAAAAACTTATACAATAAGTGTTGATTTTGTATGTGTCAAAGTGTTTGTTTAACCATTTTCCAAACCTCTCCTCATGGCAGCCCAGTATTAATAGTAGTTATCGTCTAATATGTGGTTTGGCAAATCAGTACTTCATTAAATCAAATCAGATGTGCTCGTTGTGCACCTGGCCCGTTTTTAAAAAAGGGAATTTTTTTTTTTTACTGCAGTTATGTTCATTGACAAATGTTAGCAGAAGCTTTTGCACAGCACCGTATATAAATAAGTATAATAAATATAAATAAGCAAAAATAAAGATAATATAGACTGCAGCTCGACGCTGGAGTGTTCAGTTACCTTGAAGGCGATGGGCAGGGTCTTGTTGCAGCGCCAGTGTGTGGGCAGGACGGAGCACAGAAAGTTGGGGCTGTCGGTGCGCACAAGCTCTCCAGGGTGGTCGGACAGCACCTCCACCATATTCCGCTCTGCCACGCGGACTTTGGCCACCAGGGCGGCGCCACTGGCCTCCTGGGCCTCAGCCAGCTTAGCCGAACCCAGGCTGGAGGAGGGGGGAGTGAAGCGGCGCCCGGGGGCAGGGTCTGAGACACACAAAAAGACACAAATTAGATTTCAGGGCAGAGGAAGGTGGCCAGATGTTGGGGAAAAAAGAAAAAAAAAAACATCTTATTTTCTTAATAAAATGGTACAGCCTACATTCTTAGCAAAGGAGGTTTTTATTTGGTACCAAATAGGTTCTTTGTGGAACCCATTTTGGTGCTGTATGGAGCCAATTTTTAAAGGTTCTTTAAAGAACCGTACATAACAGGTTATCTATTATGGAAATGTAGCCATGCAAAAAGCCATATATTTATATATATATATATATATATATATATATATATATATATATATATATATATATACACACACACACACACATATATATATATATATATATATATATATACACATATATATATATATATATATATATATATATACACATACACTAAGTGTCTTTACTAAAGAACTCTTAAAGAACCATGTTATAAGGTATATCAGTAACTAAAGTAACTTATCTACTTCACGCAAAATATCGCTATTTCCAAAAAGCTGGCTCAGAAAAAAATAGAAAAATAAAAGACCTATCGCTGGCTCTGATCTTCATTAAAAAAAAAAAGTTCAAGTTAGTTTATAAAATTAGAAATCACGTAATGGCCGGCTCCGATATCCATTAAAAAGTCGATTATGATGTCTTAAACGCTGGCTCTGCGATTCAACACAGAAAAAGTTCGGCGCCACTTGGGGAGCTCCTGTGCGGTTCAGCGCAGCCAGCGGCGCTCTCGATGAGCTTGAAAGCGGCGAGACCGCAGGGCTGAGAGTGACAGGGAGAAAAAACCCACTGTCACTCAGCCAAACACACTCTCCAAACGCAGCACCCAACACAAGTATTCAGCCTCCTCACACCAAAGAGAGAGAGAGAGAGAGAGAGAGAGAGAGGTGCGCTGGCGCTGTTGGGAACGTTATATTTGGTCATTGGGCTCAGGCCATAGCAGGCACATTCGCATAAGCACAAGAGCACTCAAATAAGATGTAAAAATAATATTTTAAGAGGTCGTATAACGCTTATTTAAGAGTTTCAGGACTCTCAGATCGAAACAGCAAAACAGACTAATCGCCTACATCAAAACACGAGAGCTGCGGTTGCACGTGTGCGGTCGCAAAACTAAAAGAAGTACATCATTACCGTATTTGGCGTCCCAAAGAAAAACCATTGGTATCCTGTTTTGTTGCGCTGCTTTGGCGGCTACGGTTCCAGACGCGAGTTGCGAACGCTTTCTGTTCACAGACTGACTTCCCTCCGGCCAGTGAAGTGGTTCGGTCTGCCAAACCGGGCCGCCAGGCTCAGTTCTGACAGCCTGCTCGTCTGTCTGTATCCGTGCAGCCTCGCGACGGAGAAAGTTCCACTTGCTGATACTGTTCGCTTTAAAGCCTCCGAGACAGGATCAAACTATCCATTAAATGAATCTACACAGACGACCCCCATAATCTTCTCCTCGAGGCAGCAGAGCTGACACTCGCGAGGCCGTTTCTGACACTCGCGCGTTCTTTTCTGAAACTTCTCTCTTGGCAGCTCTCTCGCGAGCCTTCACGTCTGAGACGATATTTTCAACCAACTACGAAAGCGCCTTCATTCATCTGAGCAAAGCGTTACTGGCGAAGCTGCTGAAGGAACCTACTTATCCTGGCCGTCTCGTGAGTGAGTGCGTTTGTGTGTGTGTATATGGAGGGTCACACTCCTTGTAGAGGCCGTGTGTTCGCAGTGAGATCGCTGAAATATGAATGAAGGGTCCCGGCAGCTCGGCGGCTTTTTACTGGCAGCGGGCAGCGCAGGAATGCGGCTCAGCGGGTCTGATTTGCATAGAGCCTCCTCCGAACCGCCGCGATTGGCCAGCAGCGATCGCTCTCGGCGCGCTCGGCCAATCAGAAGAGCGTCCGAAGCCAGAGCGAGAGTCCGGCTCGCAGCTACAGCGGTCAATGGAATTCCTCAGCGCGGCGCGTGGCCTCGTGAGATCTGTGGCAGTTTTGTGTTTTGAGGTTGGAAGTAGGCGGCTTAGCGGCTCTGTACTGAGAGAAAATCGACGTTTTATGTTCTAAATGAGACGGATATAAGGGTAACAACACTCTGTAAACTTTAGGCCGTCGTATATTCGTGGTTTGCTTTCTTTTTTGCTACTTTTAAAGACAGTGACGGTTACTGGGCTAGCTGTCAACAAGTAAGTGATTCAGTGATTTAGTTGTGTGAGCAGTCTAGCCATTTCTGGTTGTGCAGCCCAGCTTAAGTTACATTCAAAAACAAAAAAGACGTCCTCAAAAGACAGCCAGGACTTTTCACAAACACACTGCGTGTGGCGACAAGAGCAACATTTCGAGCATCAGCTCTGACATGGGAGATCAGCTGCGGCCGTGCGAGCTGGGGCTGTGGCTGCGTAGTTACAATGGATAACACGCAGCCAGCAGGGGGCAGCAAACGACTTAAATGGTGACTTGCTCTTCATGGTCATACTATTAATTTCTTGGGGTCTTGCTGCCTTGATATCTTGACGGTTTCGGGTGGTATTAGATATATTTTAAACTCCGTGGATGCGATGGAGGAAAGCTTGCAGAATATATCTCACGGGATCTTACAGTTTTCAAATTCTGGGCTAAAACGCGTGCCTTTAGTGCGAGCATGCTAACTACAGCAGAAGTGCTACCATGGAGGAACTGTGGGAGAATTTCCTCCACATTACATACATGACAGGAAGGCTTATACACTAAATCTGCTATTTACTTCCAGGTCCCTCCTCATCATGGTAAACCAGTCTATGCTAGCTTGTAAATACTCTACATGCTAGTTTGCTATCAACGTTCAAAGTTTACAGTAAGGCGAGAGAAGGCCGGTCACTTTGAATCACGGACGTAGCAGAAAGCAGGAGGATTTTTCATTTTTCATACACATCCCTCTGGCTAGGCTCTTAAAAAACTGACACTTCACCTAAAACTTCAAGACGTGTGTCAAGAAGGCTCTTCGTCTGATTAATAACACAACGTGTTCTCATCGAGGAGACAGCAAACTGCGAAATCAAATCAAAGGGCTGAATAATGCACGCTATAAACGCCCATTCACCGGAAGCACCATCAAATTAGGTGGAATTTTAGTTTACAATTTTCTTGTTTTCCCCCAATTCATTCTGAGGTTCTGCCCTTTGTAGGCCAGTATTCATGGCCTCCAGTAGCATTATATTTAACCGAACAGTTGGTTTCTCTTCTTCTAAAACTAATGAATCGGTCCCTGCTCTAGATGAATTTTTTTTTGATGTTGTGATCTGAACCTTCTCGGCTCACTAAAAAGCTTAACAGACAGGAATAACATTAGGACACGTTCTGCATATATAAAATCTACACAACACAATGAGACACAATGAGAACACAACAAAATAAGAAGTATGTCATGCAGAAAGGAAGATACCATGTAGGTGGATGAAGTGACGTTTATAGTTTACTGTATTTTGTAGACGTGCCTCGTGTGCATATTCACACTCAGGCTAAATTAGAATAATGTAATAATGTCTTCAGACTGTCTGGGTGGCATTAGATTTCTTTAAAAAAGATTTCTTGATTTATTGTCGAAGAAAAAAAGCATTAGAAATGTTTACGTCATGACACTGCTAAGCCCCACACTCGCATAAATACGATAAACATCATTCATTGGAAGGAAATGAACAAGATTCTGTCTTTCATTTCAGAAAAATAAATCCAGATCGAAGAAATATATATTTTTGTTAAGACCAGACAGGAAATCAAACGCATGAAAAATTATATACCCGTCGATCTGTTGTCATTTTGCTGTGAAAATAAAATAAAAAAAGACGGTAATAAACACATACATGGGTCATAATTCGTTTTAAACTTCTAAATTAAGCGAGTTAAATCAAATTAGACTATATAAATTACACTTCTAAACACGGTAGAGAACGTGGAAAGAATACTACGAAAAAACGGACCAACGTAGGCTAAAAAAACAAACAAAAAACAAAACAAAACCAAAAAAATGATATGATAAATCTAACTTTTCTGTTTATAAAAATCTCTTGATACTTTTCCCTTGCCAGTAGGCTTATTTACAGTGATCACACCAGACTACACGCTAGGAGACTGTGGCATACTCTGCAAACTGAAGAGCTCCAGCGCTACACTGCATTTCCGTTTCTACCAACTCTGAATTGGTGTAATTTGATAACTTTTGAGCCTAGAGATCAATAGCGCTTGTAGTCAGCTATAAAATCTATTGACCAGCGTCGAAAGGTTACAAATAGACTGCCATGATTCAAAGATCTATTTATGACACCCATTCAACATCAAAGCATAAAGGGGAATTCCACCAATGTTTCAAAATCTCTGCATAATTCAATAATTAAGATGTAACTAAAGTCATTCTTTGATGTGAAATGCTCACATTATAGAGAAACTGGCAGAATCAGAATTGTTCACAGTGGTGGTGATGGGAACCAGACGTTTGAAATGTGCTAAAAGATATTCTGCCTAATATATATATATATATATATATATATATATATATATATATATATATATATATATATATATATAAATAAAACACCACCTATGTGAACAATTCTATATCGCAACCCCTGGTTCCTATTACTGCTAAAGAAAAAGAAAATCTACTGTTAATGTAAGAGATTTTATTCTGTACAAATTTGGAGCATTTCCATTGGTCAATTCATTATGAAATATTCACACAATGTAAAGGGTAGCTGCTGAGCTCAAATGATATAGAAAAATAAAAACAGCAAAAAATTTTGATTTTTTTTTTGGCAGGAACTATACTCAGCTGGGAAACATCTCAATGATTACAAGAACACTACGTTGAACTGATTCCTGAGAACAAGAAACCCAAAAATATGCAAGACCAAGACTGAGAACAATTGTTGTACACTATCTCTTTAACGTTTGCTAAATATTATTTCTTAGCTGTACTGAAGATTATTTCCTTCATTAAGAGCAAGATAAAAAGAACAGTGGAAGAGGAATCATGAGCAGAAGATCACACTGAAAGACTACTACATGCAGGAAAAAGTGCCACAAAGGAAAGAAGACAACACACTGAACTGGAAAACACAATAAAGGACAAAAAGCTGGAGAGTTTTAACATTACCAAAGAGCCCACTGGTGTTACGACCCTTCCTCATGAGGTACATGGCCCACGTGAGCGGTCCTGATGTATTATAGTGGCCCGAGTTCATATTTACTTTTGTCCAGATTAGCAGATCCAAATAGGGAGAATCCAGAGTTTCTTGGCCAAGAACAAAAAAAAAAAAACTCAACTGCCCTTACACCTCTCTCCCTTTATATTCTTCCTTCACCAGCAAAAACCTGATATAAAAAAAGGAAAGGCTGAGAGATGGTAAGTTAGTGTGCATTCATAGCTAATATATTCCCCCACTAACCCTGGCCTCAGGAGACAAGCCCAGTTCTTTGCCTCGGGGCACTTCAAAACTGCTAATTTCATTTAGTGACTGACAGGATTTTCACTCTCTCTCTCTCTTCGTTGTGCTCCCTCTTTTTTCTCTTCATGCCACAAATGTGGAGGCTAAGGAAAGACCAATGTGAAGTTTTCATGAACATGAAGAAGAGGTGGTAGGAAGGCTTGAACTCTTTTTCTTTCTCTCTAAGTGAAGAGAGAGGTGTTCTGCTGCTTTTGGGCTGTTCCTGGGAACTAGTTTCCTGTCGAGACAATCACCATCAGCACCTGTATCCAGTGGATGCAAGTCCACTCTTAAAAGTAAAGGTACTAAAAGTGTTCTTTGGAGTGATCCCACAGAAGAACCACTTGTGGTTCCCCAAAGAACTTTTCAATGGATTTTTTGTAAATGAAGCATGCATGTTTTTTCCTAGAACTGTATACCCTGACCAAGAGACATTTAGGAACGCTTATTTTACATGAAGATTAGAGACTTTCTGTTTCTGTCAATTTCTGGTTGCCATCTGGAAAAGTCAGATTACACTTGGAGAGGCTGCTAAAAGCATGGCTGATATATAAGCAACCATGGTGGTTGCTTGACAACTGATCTATGTCCATGTGGAAAAAGTTTCCTTTGCAGCAAGTGACCACAGAGGTTTTTGAAGTCCCTTTCCAAACCTCACCCAGGCCATGGCAGAACCTCAGTGGGTTGAGGGTTCTCTGGTTGACTGGATGGAAGTGTGACAATAGTTCAAGAGAGAATCCAGCTTCTGTATAAAAGGGGGAAAAGCTGGTAAGCCACAGAGAATCATGGTCAGATTTTGGGACCAGAAAGTGCCCATTTTCACTGTTACCACAGTTAAGTCACAGTTATTCAAAATGCCTTACACAAACACAGATTTACCCCTAGATAAAGATGTCCTCTTCCTCACTGCCCAGAGGCAGTCTGCCCCCTCTCAGCCCCCAGAGACAGACCACCCTGGGGCCAGTAGTGCTGGGCACACAGGATCAATAATGCCCCCTGAGCTTCCTGGGGCTTGGGTAATCAACTGCTGCCGGAGCAGGTGGACATGCAGGTTTCTATAGCTTTTGTTAGACTCAAACAATTCAGCATCTCAAATTCATTTTCCCATCAAGGATGGAGGCATCTGTAGTTACAAAATTCAGAATACCTTCTAGATCCATGCATTTTTAATTCCGAGAATGGACCATCAATGTTTTGCCACCAATGACCCTTCTGTCCCTTTTCCCCTCTCTATATTTAATTCTCCCTGCTCTCCCACTCGTCTCATCACCACCACCTTTATTTTCTCCTTTTTCCTCTTCTCTCTCTTGTTTCCTTACACTGTGTGGACCCGTTAGTTAAGAGAGAGGGAGAGAAAATAACTCAGCTTTAGTTCTCTTTAATAATTAATGTGGTTGTATTGTGTGGATGCTGTTAACTGCTACTTAAAAGTAATTAATTGATTTTCTGACATATCAGTTAGCAGCTCAGCGAAGTGACAGACCAAAGCACTCTGTCCTGTTCTCTCACCCTGGCTAACTAACACACACACAAACACGCACATGCACACATTCAGAAAGCATGATACTGGGTCACTAACACTACACACAGAGTATAATACACTCTGATACATTCATACACCATCACCATACTCTAGTGTGCATGTGTGTGTAGGCTGCCTCCGTTATTTATTTATTTATGTTAGAATGGAATGGACAGCCCACACACACTCACTCAATCCAGCTGTATTAACATTACTACTGATGAAAGAGTCTCCTTAATAGCATCACGTTGTGACGTCATCATAGTCTGAGAACTGTCTTTTCCCATGGTCTTCTAGATGGGCCCACACTCTTTTATAGTGTTACTGGCACTGACACAGACACCTGCCTAGCTTTACACAAGATTAGCTAGCAATAAAGCCATTATTCATTTTAGGCATCCTTGATTGACTGACTGACTCACTCACTCACTCAGTCACTCTCTCACTCACTCAGTCACTCACTCACTCATTCTTCTCAGGCAGTGATAGAGACGTATGTGCCAAGCCTTTAAGATTGAACAGAACCAAAGGCAAGGTTGATATAGACACTGGGAG